TTTCGCTTACCACTACCCCTTTCATAGGTGGGAACTACAAGGCTACTGGGTGTACCAAATAATTGAGATGGTGAGGCAGTTAACGCAAATGCTTTGAAATCTACCGATGGGTTCCCATTACTTGGTGTGGCAATGCCCTTCATTACGATGGCAATTGGTGCGCTGGATGCAGTTTTTCGTTTGGGCGTCGCATCACTTTCAATTTCACTGTCACTGTCACTGCACTCCTCATTGCTTTTTAAAGCTCGAGCCTTTGTGGCACGTGAAACTGTTTCTTTTTTAGGTATTTTAAAATTAGTTTTCTTAATGCAAGGCTCTAAAGGTTTTTGGCTCAAAGCCTTTTTGGCGTTGCAATAACTGCTGAAGGTACTTTTGCATATCGCTTTTATTTTATTTACAATGCCACTACCAATACTGAGAGCCCCAGTTGTTCGCTGACTTTGATCCTTTTCATCATTTTCTTCTTCATTTTTGGGCGTGTTTTCCACTTTAGACTCTGATTCTTGTTTTGCACGTTTCTGGGGTATAGTTATTGATTCGATGTCAAAATTGGAGGATGATCGTTTTCTAACTTCTTTTTTCGGCGAACTTTGTTTCGATTTTTTTGATGAACTCAATTTTTGTGGCGTAGTGTTCGCTGCCACATTCTCATCCTTTTCCATTTTAACNTGCACGTTTCTGGGGTATAGTTATTGATTCGATGTCAAAATTGGAGGATGCTCGTTTTCTAACTTCTTTTTTCGGCGAACTTTGTTTCGATTTCTTTGATGAACTCAATTTTTGTGGCGTAGTGTTCGCTGCCACATTCTCATCCTTTTCCATTTTAATTGACAAAGCACTTTTGCTTGTTGATGGTTGGAAATCTTTTTGCACATCTATTTTGCTTTCAGATGGCTTAGATTTTATATTCAATTTGTTGTCTTTTTGAAGATGGGCTTTCTTGGAATCATCAATTTTATTTTCTCTCTCAATTCCGATGTCCTTGTCTTGACTTCNCTTTCAGATGGCTTAGATTTTATATTCAATTTGTTGTCTTTTTGAAGATGTTCTTTCTTGGAATCATCAATTTTATTTTCTCTCTCAATTCCGATGTCCTTGTCTTGACTTTNCTGACAAAGCACTTTTGCTTGTTGATGGTTGGAAATCTTTTTGCACATCTATTTTGCTTTCAGATGGCTTAGATTTTATATTCAATTTGTTGTCTTTTTGAAGATGTTCTTTCTTGGAATCATCAATTTTATTTTCTCTCTCAATTCCGATGTCCTTGTCTTGACTTTTCCCTCGCCGCGCTTTCGCTTGTTTTTGAGGTAACTTATCCTTTTGAGTCGTTTTTAAATTATGTTGCAGACGTTTAAGACGATCTTGGGCAGGAGTACGGAGCGGTTTAGCTGTTTATTAGATAAATATTTAGCATACAATAATTGCGGAAATGAATATTTTGAGTTTATTACCTATGCACTTTGGTGGTGACTGTGCTTTTCCTTTTTCAGCAACGCTAGTCGGCTTGGCGTCATTATCCACAAACTCACTGCACCATTTGGTTTCGCCAGTTGCCTTGTTGAACATGTACCATTGGCCTGGCCGCTTTTTTGATTGGCACTTTATCCAATCATCCGTTTTAGATACACTTCCTCGCAATTGTCGTTTTTCCATTGTGATATTATAACCAAAGTATCCCAAAAATGCATAAAAATTATTCAAAAATATAGAAATCACAGAATTTCCTCCAAGTAATTTTTGGCCAAATTGAAAGCAATTTTTACAGCTGACA